AGGCCGGAAGCGTGAACGACTGCTCAATGCCCTCCTGCTGACAGAAGGCCTCCAAGAGGCCAGAGGAAAACTCCCCACCTCTGTCAGAGTGCAAACGCAGGACAGGGAAGTCGGAGCGGAAACGCTCACTGAGCTGGAGACGAGATCTGCGGATCCAAGGGATCAAGACATCAGGGACGTCACCCTTGGCGCGCAAGGGGAAGACCGTGGTGTAGCGCGAGAAGTCATCAACAACAATCAGGAAGTACCTCTCCTGACCCTGACCACGGACGCGGGCTGGGCCCCACACGTCCATGTGGAGCGTCTGCAAAGGAGCAGTCGTCGGGGGGAAGGAGGAGGAGTGAGGAGCGGCGCGCTGCCGTCCCTCGACACAGGGAAGACAGGGAGGAGCAGGCGAGGGTGGCAGGGGAGGGAGAACCCTGGGAAGACCAGCAACAAGGTCCCGTTTGTGCATGGCCCGAAGGCGCTGCACAGACGGGTGACCAAGGCGATGGTGCCAGAGGACAGTCTCATGCGCCAGAGAGCGACACGAGCAGGGGGCGGACAGCTGACCTGACGCAGACGCAGACGCGGACGCAGCTACCTGAGGGGACTCAGTGGTCAGTGTGTACAGGTCCGACCCCGGCTGCCGAGTGAAGGTAGCCAGGTGACGGCCCGTCCGAGCACACGTGCAGTGGGTCACGCGCTCGTAAGCAGGGGTGAACTGGTGGACACCCCCGTCCTGGAGCGCACTACCTGCCACCAAGTTCGTAGAGAACGAGGGGAGGTAGAGACCTGACAGCGTGCCTGACGGGACCGCAGGACAAGGAAGGACAGTGGAGGAGGTCGCAACGACCGGACCCCCAGAGGGGTCAGCGAGGGAGACAGCAACTGGCCGAGCGAGTGGCTCAAGGACAGTGCGGTCACGAAAGAAACAGCGAGAAGCACCTGAGTCCAGTGTGAAGGTGTGCAGTGCTGCAGTCGACTCAGTACCAGCGGGCACGGACGCACTAGCACCTAGAGCAGCAGCCTCACCAGGACCTGGGGCAGCAGACACACTAGCACCTAGAGCGGCAGCCGGACTAGTCTGAATGCCCGGGTCGGGCGGAACACGCAAGTACTGAGCACCCTCTCCACTAGTAAACATCGCATACATGGCAGTGAGAATAGCATCAAAGTCTAAAGCCCAGATATCAACACCCTTCTTTTCCAGATCAGCCCAGTGAGGCAGGTCAGTGGCATCAGGAAACTGGGCACGCCACGCGTCAGTAAGGCGTGCGAAACAGCGCTGTGTGGGATGCGGCCTCCCACACTGCTGGCCAGTGCGGTCACCAGTGCGAATGACGTAAGTGCACGTAAAGCCACGCTGCGCATACCACTCACGAGCGGCCTGAAGCGACGGGGCGGGCTGCTGACTCTGGCCACCGCCAGCGCCTCCACGACCACCACTGCCGCCGCCACCGCCTCGGCCACCTCCACCCCTGCCGCTGCCACGACCACCTCCGCCTCCACTGCCGCCTCCACCCCTGCCGCCACTCCCGCCGCTGCTGTCACCACCCCCACTGCCGCCAGTAGGCTCCCCAGCCGCTCCTCCACTCCCACCGCCTCCACCCCCACCTCCTCCGCCGCCACCTCCAACCTTGCCCCCTTTGCCCCTGCGGCGCCCGCTCGGAGCAGACGCGGCCCCGACCTTCTCAGCACCAAGGAGGTCGACAGTAGCAGCAGAGGCGACAGAGGGGAGGAGAGGGGAAGGGGAACACCCCTCAAAGAACGGGGTGCGGGGGTCGCCACGAGAGGTGCCTACAGCGACGATGCTCGTCTCAGCTGCAAGCAGTTCCTTCTCGAGGAGGGCAATGGTGAGCTCAGTGGGAGAGCGAGCGAGGAAGTGATCCCTGACTGCGCGCAGAGAGTCAGGGAGGCGGGTGACAATGTGGTAGAGCGTGATCCAGAGCGGGGGGGGGTTGCTGGCAAGGAACTCGTCAGGCATAGCAGCGCGAAAGCGGGCCTCACTGGTCCTGAGGTGGGTGATGAGGTCAGCGACTGTGCTGAAGGAGGCCAGGTCGGGGAACAGGTAGGGGAGGGTGAGGCGGCCTAGTGCGGCAGAGGCAGGTGAGGAGTAACGAGCAACTACAGCAGTGTACAGGTCCTTAGCAGTCTTGTGCTGGCCAAAGTGCTCGCGCTCATCTAGTGGCAGGGAGTTGCGAATAGCGAAGCGAGCGTGGGCGTCACGAGTCTGCCACTGTGAGCGCTGAGTGCTGTCTGCAGTGGTAGGAGGGGCAGTAGCGTGACCGAGGGCATGATCGTACAGCGAAATATCCTCCTTGGCAGTGAGCTGGAGGAAGAGGTGCAGGTCATCTAGCCAGGTGTCAAACTTCACTGGGCGGCCCTCGGCATCGAAAGCAAGTACGGGAGGACTAGCCATAGTGGCAGCAGCAGTAGTAGCAGTAGCAGCAGTAGCAGTAGCAGCAGGAGCAGTAGTATCGACGGGGCTGCTAGTACGGGCGGCGCGGCTCGGTCGGGTAGGGCGGCGCGGCTCGGGTCGGGCTGCGCGGCTGCGCAGAGCCTCTAAGCGGGGCGGTACGGGGCCGCGGGGGGCCTCTAAGCGGGGCTCGACGGGGCCGCGGGGCCGCTAAGCGGGGCGCAACGGGGTCGCGGGGCCGTGAGGTGGGGCGCGACGGGGCCGCGGGGCCTCTAAGCGGGACGCGACGGGGCCGCGGGGCCTCTAGGCGGGACGCGACGGGGCCGTGGGGCCGCTAGGTGGGGTTCGACGGGGCCGCGGGGCCGCTAAACGGGGTGCGCGCGGGGTCGACGGGGCCGTAAGCGGGGCGCGTGCGGGACCGACGGGGCCGTAAGCGGGGCGCGCGCGGGTCGACGGGGCCAGCGGGGCCTCTAAGGGGGGACGCGCGCGGGTCGACGGGGCCAAACGGGGCCGAAATCGGGGCGCGCGCGGGTTCGACGGGGCCACTAAGGGGCGGCGCGCGAATCGCTAAGGGGCGGCGCGCGGGGTCGACGGGGCCTTAGGGGGGGCCGTAAACGAGGGCGCACGAGGGCGCTGAGGGGGAGGCGCTAACGCAGCACTCCGACAGTAGATAGGTAGGTAGGTATTCAGTGGTGGGCCCTAAGAACGGTCCTAGCGAAGGACCTGCTCTGAAACCATGTCAGAAAGAAGAGACTGGAATGATTGAACTATGAGTGAAAGCAGTACAAGTACCAAACCCTAGAATTGTGTACCCCCCATAGGCTAACCCACTGTAGCCTAAACAAACACAACATATATAATGTTTGACAGCAGGAAATGGTCAGGGCGAATGTCGCGAGTGGTAACGGTGGCGAGTGTGGCGAGTAAAGTGATGTACGCGCTAAGTAGCGTGAGGAAATAGAAATTTGGGAAAATATGTCAATGGTAACTTACATGGGGAACTATAACGCGTACGATAACGATTTCAACGCGTTTGGTAACTCGCTTAACACGTTTGGTAACTCGCTTAACGCGTTTGGTAAGTCGCTTAACACGTTTGGTAACTCGCTTAACGCATTTGGTAACTCTACACTAGCAGCCCATCACGCGAATGGTAACTACATGAAATTCCCGCCGACATTTTCCTGACAAAAAGGAATTTATCGAGTTTGAGAGATTTTACGCACATTATTATCTTTTGTGAACAAGTCCTGCAGCGAATTTAAAGGACCCTGTTTGTTTTAATACCACGGACCAAAAAGTTTCAGAGCCATTTTATATATATAGGTAACTCGTACAAAAATGGACAAGATCATATTTTTGATAGCATGATTGCGGACTTGCAAAAGGATAAAAAAACATTTCCCGAAAAGGACATTGAAAAATTTTCCCTTTTTTTAATACTGCAACTTTGGAGAATTTTTGCACGTGGGAAAAGTAAACCTTTGTAAAAATTCATCTTTCATTTTTTAAATAAAGATCCATAAACGCCTGGTTGCTAGAAGTTTAGGGTTGTTGCTCTCAAATTATGGTTGTTGCGCTCAAATTTATTTGCCATTGGAAAGGCATATAGATTTGTTTGCCCCGGCTGCGCGATAGAATAAAGTACAAAACGTTTGCGGAAAAAGCGCCAAAACAGCATTAATGTTTGAACAGCTGTTTTCACAACGCTTACGTTTTTGTAATTATCTTGAAGAAAAATCGGAAAGTGTGTCAGGATTTCGGAAAGTTTGTCAGAATTTCGGAAATTGTGTCAGAATCTCGGAGAGTGTGTCAAAAGTTTCTACTTCACGATTCGTCAATTTATTCTGACGCGAGCGGGAAAAACCAGAATCAGGCTCAATTTCGGCGGGAATTTCATGTAGTTACCATTCGCGTGATGGGCTGCTAGTGTAGAGTTACCAAATGCGTTAAGCGAGTTACCAAACGTGTTAAGCGACTTACCAAACGCGTTAAGCGAGTTACCAAACGCGTTGAAATCGTTACCGTACGCGTTATAGTTCCCCATGTAAGTTACCATTGACATATTTTCCCTAGAAATTTCCTTACATTACGTAAATTTCCTTCCAGGTCAATAGTAGTCATTCAAATCGTTCGGTGTTTTGTGTGTTCGTGAAGTCATTGGCTGCCCACTGCCTGCACGAATTCTTTCTGCGCTGCATTATTGGGTGACAATCAGCGCGGTCATACGAATCGCCCAGCCATTACGATGCCATTGTCGTCATCCAGCTTGGCGAAACGCCCTTCCGTTAGCTTCGCACATTCGCAAGAGTCACGCGCCAATCATATCTGGCGCTCCATGGTCGAATCTTGCCAAGCCCACTCGGGTCGTCCCTTTGCCCACTACTCTCTTCTCTTCCCCTCCTACACCTTTTCTTCCTCCATCGCTGCATTTCGGCCCCAAGCACACACATTCAACTGCTAGTATGATGTGCCAGGGCAGTCTTCACTACGCGACCCCACGGACACCTGCGAATAGTCGCTCTTTGGCATGAACTAGAGCTTCAATAAACCTCACCACTGGACTCGCTGTTCAGTACTGAGCTATGTGATTTGTAGGAAAATGAGTGTAAAGTTTCCTTTCACGAGTAGTGCGCCGCCTTCCCAGACTGAAGGATCGTACTCCCCTACTACCCATCTCTTCGATTACGCGCAGGCAGGAGAACGCGCGGAGAATATTTTTAAACACGCGGAGAACTGGCTGCACGACGGCGACCTGAAGGTGACCGTTTCCAAGCACCTCGTGTCGCCGCAGTCCTCCGCCGATGATGATTTTTCTCGCGATTCGTCCAACTTGAAGCCCGAACGGCAGGAAGAGCGGGCTGAGGCTCGTAAATCCGCGAAGCACGTCATCTCTCAGCAGAGCGTCGACGATCCAACGGCTGGCGGCGACTGGAGCGAGTTCGACAAATCGCCTGCCATTTTCAACTTCCAAGAGCGCCCTGTGCGCGACGCGGGATGGCTGTTGGTCCTGGCTGTGTCGCTCGTCGTTCTCGTGGCCGCGACCTCCTTCGTCTTCGAACCTTCCATCCGCGATGCGCTCGTTGTCCTCCTCTTCTATCCGTTGGTGTTTCTCCTCCTCTTCGCCATCAGCCTTCCCCTCCCCCTGTTGCTCGTGTTTTACCTCCGCAAAATCTCCGCGCGCACCCTGAAGACTCTCATGGTAGTCGCTGCCGTGATTTTCGTTTTCCAAAGCGTCAGCTCCGCCATGAGCATCCTCACGCCGCGACACGCGGAGGAAGGAACCGAGACATACGGGCTGCAGGAGTATGTGCCGTATTTCGTGGGATACACTGGCTTTAACGCACCAGGCAGCGACGGGGCGGACTTTGAGACAAAAGGGGGGATGATGGGGTTAGGCATGGACGGGGCCATGAATGGAGGCATGAAAGGAGGCTTGGAAGGAGGCTTGGAAGGAGGCTTGGAAGGAGGCTTGGAAGGAGGCTTGGAAGGAGGCTTGGAAGGAGACATGGAAGGAGGCGTGGAAGGAGGCGTGGAAGGAGGCGTGGAAGGGGGAAGTATGGAGGAGGCAGCAGCCTCGGAGGCTGACAGCAGCAGCAGCGTGTCCAACGGCAGCAGCAGCACTGCCGCCTCGAGTGACCTCGGCAGGCGCCTCTTCGAGCTTGTGCTGCCCGCCATGGCACACCCCGTGGTAACCTTTACTGCACGTCACGCTGCCCACTGGGTGCGGGCTGCCCACTATGCGGCAGAGAGAAATGCGCGCGGGCGGCTCTTGCAAAGCAACGACGGGCTTTTCTCGCTGCTGCCCCTCGGAAGCTACATCAACATCTTCCAGTTCGTGTTCTCAGCGCTTCTCGGTGCTGCCGCACTGCTCCTTGTTGCACGCTACAGCCAGCACCTGCCGCTCGCTGCCGCTACCATCGCACACGCCTCCCATGCAGCCATCGCCAGGGCCCCTATCATACTCTTTATGCCGTTCCTCCTTATGTTTGTACCTTCGTTCATGACCCTGCCTTTGATGTTTCCCGTTCACTTTGATTCCAATGTCGTCCTCCTGGCCCTGCTGCTACTCTCGTTCCTCTTCCTCGCCCAAGTGCTCTCAGCTATCCTCACCTACTATACAGCCACTGTCTACACACGCCTGTACGTCACGAGCAGCAGCGACGGTGGGCAGACGGGTGGAGGGGAAGAGCGCATGACAGTAAGAGACCAGCTGCGCCTTTCCTGCTCGGCACTCAGCCTCGCATGCACCTCATCCCTTGGCACCTGCTGTGCTGTTGCTTTCACCGCATGCATTGTCAGCCTTGTCGAGATGAGCCTTTCCGCCCTCTTCCTGTCGCGCTTTGGCCCAGGCATCATAGGCTGCCTACTTGTGGTGCCGCTTCAGTGCACGAATCTTGCCATCCGCCTTTTCCTTAACTGCCTCCTGCTCCCTACCAGTGCAATGAGCGGCCATGGCTTCACCCGCTCACTGCGCCTCTCGTTAGACATCCTGCAACGCTACACGTTGCCCATTGTGACATCCAATGCTGCTGCTTTCGCCCTCCATTCCATCCTCATGGGTGCAATGGCCTTCATAGGTGTAATTATCGCGGTATTTGTGGTAAGTAAGCTGCGCTGCATGCTCCTGCTGCGTGAGTGTTCTCATGATGATTAACCGCAAAGCCTTTTTGCATGTAGCACGATGATGCCTTTCTCCCGAAGGCACATTCGCAGCTTCCATATTCAAGGCGTGTTCTCGTGGGTTCTCCATTGTCTCTATTCACTTGCAGGTTTTGGCAAGTTTCACACCGGGAGGTGGCCTAGAGAAACCATTTGCCTTCATTTTGGTCTTCTCAATCGTTGGTTGTATTTATTTTTTTGCCGCTGTAGAACTCTCATCGGTCCTTACTACAGGGGTGGCTACCACAGTGCTGTGTTTTGCCTGGGACAAGAATCTAGAGGCAGTAGAGGGATCCGATGTTGTGGGCCTGGTGGGTGCTGGTTCTCCATCTTCTGCTCATGTGAAGGATATTAGTGTGGTGTAGGAGGGTGTGCGTTTTGTGTGTGTGTATTGTGTGTGTATTGTGTGTGTGTGTGTGTGTGTGTGTGTGTGTGTGTGTGTGTGTGTGCGTGCGTGCGTGCGTGCGTGCGTGTGTGCGTGCGTGCGTGCGTGCGTGCGCGTGCGTGCGTGCGTGCGTGCGTGCGTGCGTGTGCGTGCGTGCGTGCGTGCGTGTGTGCGTGCGTGCATGCATGCGTGTTAATTTGTATATTCCAGCGTCAGCACCGTGAGATATACACTACTGCAGCAAAGCGTACGGTAGGTTGTTTTGATGAGGGACGAGTACAAGTCGGGGCAGATGGTGTCGTCAAGGCTGTTTGAGGGCCTCTACACTCGTGACTCTTGTGGCAGCAGGAAGGGCGCTGTAGCTTGCAATGCCTGGGATAGCGAGGGCAAGTTGAGGTGGAATGCAGATGCAAATAAACAGGCTCGAAAATGCAAATTCGAATAATGCGCCACAAATAAGCTCTCTTTCATTAAATAGCTTCCACTTTGTTACAATAGTCAAACGAACAGCCACGGTCTTACAACTTCTTAACACATTGAGTTTCACAACTACCGTATACCATACTCCTCACAAGGTTCACACTCCCAGGCTTGAAAGATGCCCTCTTGTCAGAAGACATCGGAGCCAAACAGGTCCATGACGTCATCGGAAACACCTTCAAGCGCATCGAACGTCAGCAACTCCAAAGCCGCCCCTCCACCTTTGCCATCATTTCCCTGCTCTTCTGCTCGCCTCTCCGTGCTCCTGCCGCTCTCCACACCACCACCACCACCACCACCACCACCACCACCACCACCACCGCCGCCGCCGCCGCCGCCGCCGCCGCCGCCGCCGCCGCCGCCGCCGCCGCCGCCGCCGCCGCCGCCGCCGCCGCCGCCGCCGCCGCCGCCGCCGCCGCCGCCGCCGCCGCCGCCGCCGCCGCCGCCGCCACCACCACCACCACCACCACCACCACCACCACCACCACCACCACCAGCAGCACCTCCCAACACTGCAGTTTCCTCCTCACATTCCTCTTCCTCTTTGCTTGCTCCTGCTCCTCCACTGTTGTGCTGAGCCCCTGCCTGGCCTGCCAGCCGCGTGCCATCAGCACGAGCAAGAGCAAGAGCACCTTGTACAGGAGTCTCAGTGCTGTGTGGGGAGCCAGAGGACTCATGGTAGACGAACGTCACCCCCTCACACGCGCGCACCACTTCCCTCAGCGGCCCATCTGCAATGCCTGCTGCCAACCCGCCCCTCCCACCACCCGCACCTGCCCCAGCAGCAACAGCGCTGACACTAGCAGTACTAGAGATGGTGCTCGCAGCAGGTGCAGCAGTGGTGGTGGCGGCAGCAGAAAGCCATTTGGCAGAGAGAGGGGAGTTGGAGCGCAGCAGCAGGTCCAGCGTGTCACACGCAGTGGCCTGCAGCACACGGCACAACCACACGGGAGGGGTAAAGGAAGAACCCTGACGTGTTGGCATGCCAGTGAAGCGCTTCATATGAATGCACCTGACAGACAATGGCAACTTGCAAGCACTCAATGCCGAGAGGGCTCACTCTGTCTCATCAACACAACAACGGGCTGGACATGCAATGGACTCGAACGGCAATGGGGTTAGACCCATCTCCTTCCACTTCACTACTAACCGCTGCACAGAAGAATACCAATCCTCACTGCCCTAACTGCCCTCACTGCTCTCTCCGCCCTCAACTACTTCACGTGCTGCAGAGTAGAATAGTCACAGTCACCGCCCTCACCTGCTCCAGGGTGAACAGCTCACCTGCTCCAGGGTGAACAGCTCACCTGCTCCAGGGTGAACAGCTCGCGCAGCTCTTCCTTGGTGAAGTGCCCCGCGCCACCCTTGCTGCTGTCACTGCCACCGCTACCCCCCCTGGCGCCAGTGCTGTTGCCCGGCAGTGCAGTGCCATCGCCCACAGCGCTGGCCACGTCGCCCTTCATGAGCTGCCGCTGGAAGATCTTCTCCTCAATGCTGCCATCATCGCATCGAGGGGGCAACACAGGAACATGTTTTGGCTGGGGCTCATCGCTGAAATCTACGTGTGGTGTTGGGCGCATGCAGGGCACGGCGCAGCGACATATGTCTCATTTGCCTCGCCTGCCTCACACACTCCATACCCCACCTGCTTCCACCTCCTTCCTCTCCACCTCGCCTCTCACAAGTCCATGAGACTCATCCACACAGCCTCGCACAATTTCACTCTCCTCATGCTCTCCTCGTCTGCTCTCAACAACCCCTCGCTGCTGCTTGACTCAACCATCAGCGCCCACCACTTGGTACATCCCACGACCGCACGCTAATCTACTGTGACCTGCATCAAATAGATCCCCATGTCCGCCCCAATGGCCTTGCAAGCGACGAGGACGGCTGTGGACATGGACATGTCCCCATGTGCCCCTCACCCGCCTCCCACCTGCCTCCCACCTGCCTCTCACCTGCCAGTGGCGAGCATGCGGTAGATCACCACCGCCTTGCTCTGCCCGTCCCTCCACACGCGCGCCATCGCCTGCACAGATTGGGGGGGTGGAGGGGCATGGCTATACGTCAGCTTGCATGTGCGTACAAGTGCCTGTGTGCCATCTGCGGTTTAAAACCAGCCACCATTACCATCGATGACTTCACTACAACCATGCGGGTTCTTCGGCAGAGCTTCAATCCCAGCCAGTCAGAACCAACTTCCTCACACCACCCGCCAACACTACACACCCCCCACAACCACCCCCACAACTACCAATGCCCCTGCCAGGGTGAGTCACCCAATGCACACCCCCTCCCCCCCTTTTTGCGCGCACCTGGGAGTCGGTAGCGTGGTTAGTCAATTAATGTTCACCCCTTCCCCCCACCCCTCTGAGCGCACCTGGTGGTCGATGGGGGGTTCCAGTCACCTCCTCCTCAATCCTCACGTCCCCCTCTCATTCTTCCCCCCCCCCCTTGTGAGCGCACCTGGTGGTCGGTGGTGGGGTTAGTCAACCAATGTTCACCCCTCCCCCCCCCTTTTTGCGCGCACCTGGTGATTGGTGGCGGGGTTCCAGTCCACCTGCCAGGGTTAGTCAACCGATGATCCCAACTCCTCCGCCCCCTCCTCCTTGAGCGCACCTGGTGGTCGGTGGCGGGGTTCCAGTCGTTGAGCGTGCACCTGCTGTTACCTCCCCTCAATTCCCACGTCCCTGTCCCACCCTACCCTTTCTCTTTTGCGCGCACCTGGTGGTCGGTGGCGGGGTTAGTCAACCAATGTGCACCCCTCTCCCCCCCCTCCCCCTCCCAATCTCCCTTGCTTTGACCCCACACCTGGTGGTCGGTGGCGGGGTTCCAGCCCCCCTGCCTTCCAGCCCCCCTGCCTCCCCCCCCCCCCTGAGTGCACCTGGTGGACGGTGGCGGGGTTCCAGTCCCCCTGCCAGGGATAGTCAACCAATGATCACCTGGTGGTCGGTGGCGGGGTTCCAGTCCCCCTAACCAATAATCCCAACTCCCCCCCCCCTGAGCCCACCTGCTGGTCGGTGGCGGGGTTCCAGTCACCTCCCCCTCTCGTTCTCCACCCCTCCACCCTTTCCCCCTCTCTCCCCCCACACCTGGTGGTCGGTGGCGGGGTTCCAGTCACCTGGTGGTCGGTGGCGGGGTTCCAGTCACCTGGTGGTCGGTGGCGGGGTTCCAGTCGGGGTCGAAGAGCACGAGGCTGTTGGCGCCCACGAGGTTGAGCCCGGCGCCGCCTGCCTTGGACGACAGCAGGAAGCAGCAGCTGCCGTCGCGCCCCGCGTTGAATGCACTCACCACCGCCTGCCGTGTCGCTGCCTCCGTGCTGCCGTCCAGCCGCGTGCTCCTCCACCCGTGCCATGAACACATCGCCTGGTGCCGTGCAGTGGGGGCGTGGGGGGCAGGGGCATGTGATGATGCGAGGGAGGGCAGCAGTATATGAAAACACATGCGTGCAGGGCGGGTGGTGCGGCTGAGAGTGTGGTGACCCTTAGCGAGAACCCCCTGCATGGATGGTGCTGCACGGTGGTCATTCGTGTTAACCCAGGCTGCAATGATAGGTGCAAGCACAATCCACTGCCACCCCTTGCATCGCGGCCTGCCTGCATGCCCCGTAATCTGCATTCCACACAGATGCCACTCACTCACCTCGATCACATGCAGTGCCCGTGTGAAGTTTGACACGATCACCACCTTATCGCCACTGCTGCCCCCACCACCGCCAGTGCCACCAGCATCAGCACCAGCACTGAAACGAGCACGAGTGGCACTGCTGCCATCCGTGATGCTCGATAGCGCGCTGCCCTCGCCCCCACCCGCCCGTGCGCCCCCCCCCAGGATGGCGTGCAGCAGCAGCGCGAGCACGTGCAGCTTGCCGCTGAGCCGCCATGCATCAGCGCCCAGCGCCTTGAGCGCCGCTGCCAACGCCGCTGCTGCTGCTGTGCGCGACAGGGGCGCGCCCTGGGCGGATGGGGACGCCTGGGGGAGCATGGATGGCGGCCTGGGGGAGTGATGGGGGGGGCGGAGGGGGAGAGGGCGAGAGGAAGACGGATTCGGCATGCTTGTACTTGCCTTGAACAGAGAGCAGGTGCCGTTGAAACGAAAGGGCTGCGCTCGGCTTGAGATGGCCTGATCAGGGGCCTCTCACCTGAAACCACTGCGCTTCTGATCTGCCTCGTTCCCTCCTGCCACCCCTCCCTCACATCCCCCCACCTCCCCCCCTTCTGCTGCCCACTCTACATTCCCCTGCTCCTCCTCTTCCACCTCTTGCTCCTCATCCCCTGCCCATTCCTCCTCATCTCCCCCTTCCTCCCCCGCAGCAGCGCAGCCAGCAGAGGCGGAGGCAGCAGGGGAGGGGGAGCGCGGGGGGGGGAAGGAGGGCGTGGGGGGGGCAGCGAGGGCGGGGTGCAGGCAGAGCTTGCGGAGGTGGCAGATGGCCGTGAGCGCACTGGCTGTGCTGCCGGGCGCCGTGGCATAGAGCAGCGCCCGCACGTGCTGCCACGCACAGGAGGGGGGGGGGGGGGGGGAGGGACACAGGGTGGAAGGGGACAGGTGGGGAATGGGACACAGGGGAGAGGGGACACGGTGGGGAGGGGACACGGGGGGGAGGGGACACGGGGGGGAGGGGACACGGGGGGGAGGGGACACGGGGGGGAGGGGACAAGGAGGGGAGGGGACAAGGAGGGGAGGAGACACGGGGGAAAGACGGGATGTGGTGATGGCGGCGCAGGGGCAGATAGCGCATGTGGTGTGGGGGTGGAAAGGGCAAGTGGTGGGGGAATAGATGGCAGGGAAGGTAGGCAAGGGGACACGGGCAGGGGCGCATCGATAGCAACATGCACAGTGCATGGGGCACAGCATATGGCGTATGGTACATGGCACATGGCTGGCTGGCGTATGGCACATGGCACATGGCATACGGCTCATGTAGTGTGCGCTTCACCAGGAGAACAACGACAATGCAACACGAGGTGGAGTGCACAAGCTGTTGTGTTGAGTGTGCGGAGCAGCAAGTGAGGGGGGGGCGAGGCACGTACGGTGGAGCGCAGGAAGTCGGAGTACTGGCGTGCCTGCTGGTCGTGCAGACGACAAAACACTATGTACCTGCGCATGCATGGAGGGGCAAGGCAAGTGTGGGTACAGGAACAGAGAGGGGAGGAAAAGGACTGATGCGAGATGAAGGGGTATTGAGACGAATAAGCAGGGAAAGTAAGAGAATCAGCGCTGAAGAATGGAGCAATATTAGAGAGGACAGGACAGGCAACGAAACAGGGATGGAAAAGGTAGGAGTGCAGACTCTGATTTGGGTGGCAGGTAGGCGGCATTGACTGCAGCAGTGCGGCGCAGCACAAAGGCCGCCGCCTTGGCCTGCAGCTCCTGTGACCTCGCCCCCCCCCACCCGCACCTCCTCCTCCCTGCTCGTGTGCGTGCATGGCAGAGAGGGAGGGAGTGGGGCAGGGATTGAAGGAGAGGTGGGGAGGTGGAGAAGGAGGGAGGGAAGGAGGGAGAGAGAGGGAGGGAGGGAGGGAGGGAGGGAGGGAGGGAGGGAGGGAGGGAGGGAGGGAGGGAGGGAGGGAGGGAGGGAGGGACGGAGGGACGGACGGACGGAGGGAGGGAGGGACGGAGGGACGGAGGGGGGGACGGAGGGAGGGAGGGAGGGAGAGAGAGGTGCAGTAGCAAGTAGAGAAAAGTGGAAAGGCAACCACGAGAAGCAGAGCTGACACATGTGCATGTGAGAATGGGCCCTGCCTGCCAGCCACCTCCTCCCAGTATATTGCTCAAAGGTGCAGGAGGGCACGTGTGGCACTGGCATGGCACGTGTGATGTGTTGCTGAGAAGCAAGGCACGTGCTGTGGTGCGGGTGTGGGTGCACTGACGTGGCGCTGCGTCGCGGCTGACGAGAGAGAGAGAAAAGAGAGGGGGGGAGTGGCAATCTATGTTGCACTATACGCTTAGGAAATTTTACGTTTCACGTATATGCGTTCACGTATAAACGTGAAAACGTGAAACGGGGACAAATACGCGATACGTAAATCCGGGCAGGCGAAAAAAAAAAGAGAAAAAAATCTGTTGCCGCTGATTCCGCGATCTGCAATTCTGTGAAACCTAATTTTGAGATTCGAAACTCGAATGCCCCCCTCCCCTCCCCTCCACCGCACATCACCTCACACCACCTCCCAAACCCAACCTTCCCTTACAAGCTGCTCGCCAGTCGGCGTGAGTACAACAGCGAAGCTCACGCCAAGTTTACTGCTATTGCTAGCAGCGGCGTCGCGTCACTTGCAGATTTTAGCAACCGCTATATTAGGACGATTCTAGGCAACAATTTCGTACTGGCGAAAACCCCACGGGAGTTATCCGCATCAAGTATTGCTGAAGTTCTTTCCCTATAAGCATTCTACCTCATCTGAAATGTTTTTTCCCTGCCCTAGAAAATTTCAACCTGCCCGACGCACCGTATTTCGAGGTTTTTTGTACGCTGGAAATTTGCGTATCGCGTATGTACGATACCGTATAGTTCGTACGCGTTCCGTACGCCATACGCGTATTTTGCAACATAGGTGGCAATGCGAGGCTATGTGTGTGTAATTTTAATCTGCAAGTGGCGCGTGTGGGGGCACTGACGTGGCGCTGCGGTCGCGGCTGCGCTGGATGGGGTCGGCGAAGATGCGGCGGAAGGCAGGCAGCGGGCCCAGGCAGCCGGGGTTGACCAGATCCAGCAGCGCAAAGAACTCACTCAGATCGTTCTGCATCGGCGTGCCCGTCTGACAGGCGGGGGCAGGGGGGAGGCAGAGTGAATGACGGGGGGAAAGGTGGGGAGGAGAAGAGTCAGATCGTTCTGCATCGGCGTGCCCGTGGTGGTGGGCGTGTGGGGGGAGGGAAAGTGAATGACGGGGGAAAAGTGGGGGGGGGAGAGTTGCAGGGAGATATGGACAGGGAGGGATGGCGGGCGTGGTGTAGCAGAGGTAGCAGGGCGGTGAGGTGGCTCTGAGTGAGTGTGCTGATGTGCATGAGGAGGGAGAGAAGAGGGTGGAGCGCAAGTGAAGTAGGATGCATGGGGTTCGCGGAGAAACGGCAGGTGTGAGTGGAAAGATGAGAAGAATCCGAGGTGGTGTGCACGAGTGCCATGTCATGAAGTGCAGGGTGGGTGGAGGGGTGGGCAAGGGAGAGGACAGGGAGGAACACAGGCAAGACGTATATGGAGACGAGGGGGCTAGGTTGCATGGGGGCGTACCGTCGTGAGATGCTGGTGTGGGGGTTTGGAAAAATAAGAGCAAACAACTGATGCAACGTTCGTTGCAGCATACGAGTGGGTGGACTCACCAGCAGCACCTTGCGAGGGCACCCCAGCTGGTGCAGCGCCGAGATGGTCTTGTTGCCCGCACTGCAGCAGGGGCAGCACAGGGATCAGGGGGTGCATGGTTGCAACACGGAAAAGGCTGCACCCATCTCCCATGAACAACGTTCACCAGCACCCTTGTCTCACAGGACAGCGCACCACCCCCCATGCATGCACCACCTCTCATGCGCCATCCCGCGCTGACCAGTTCTTGAGGCGGTGGCCCTCGTCGCAGACGAGGAGCTGCGGCGCGGCGGCAGCGAGGATGGGCGCATGGCGGCGCAGCAGATCGTAGGACGCGATGAGCACCGCCCACACCACCGCGTGCTTGAAATCCAACATCTTGCCCCTCACCTGCTCACATGCACATGCCATGCTCGCATGCACACACACACAGGCACAGACGCATGCATGCACACACACACACACGCACGCGTGCGCGAACGCGCGCACACACACACACACACACACACATGCACACGCACGCACGCAGACACACACACACACACACACACACACACACACACACCCACGCACGCACGCGCGCACGCACGCACGCACGCACGCACGCACGCACACACGATGCGCGCGCGCACACACACACACGCACGCACGCACTCACACACACAAAGACACACACAAACAAACACACACACACAGACACACACACACACACACACACACACACACACACACACACACACACACACACACACACACACACACAAAGACTGTATGCCACATCCTTGAAACTATATCCCTGCTACTGCTTGTGCTCGTGCAGCCTGTTCCCGCGCCCACTGTGCCATGAGGTCCTCTGGTCACAGCAACAGCTAACACGCTTGCTTCCACCAGCTCACCCCTTACCTTCCCTGCACCAACAATACCCTCTGCTTCCAACACACACGCATGCCTCAAACACACGCGCGCCCCACAAACACACACACATGCCCCACGCACGTGGGCCATGAGCGTGTGCTCCTCCCACGCACATGCCCGACCCACTCGCACCTCGGTGGGAGTGTAGCTGGAGTTCACGACCATCGCCTTGAGCCGCTCCGTGCCCAGCCACTTGCGGAACTGGTGCGCGCGCGCAGGGGGAGAGGGTGGAGGGGTGGAGGGAAGGGTGGGGGAGGGAAGAAGAAGAAGGGAGAATGCGGACGGTTAAGGGGTTGGAGTGACTGGGCGGTATGGACGGTGGAAGCATGAGAGAGTGGAAGGCATCAGAAGTGAGAGCAGTGACAAGCATGTCATGTGGCATGACCCGAGTGCCCCACCCTCACACAGTACCTCAGCGCCCCAGTTGTCAACGAGCGACGACGGGCACACCACCACTGCCTTGCGCAGGAAGGGACGACCCTGGGGGCCCTGCAGAAGGGGGAGGGGGGGGGGGGGGGAGGGGGGGGGGGGGGATGGAAAAAGGGCACGGGAGAAGAGAGATGGGAGGCATTTGCAACGCTGGTAAAGAAGGGGGCAGCGAAGAGAATGGGTTAGGAGAATAAAGGCAGAAAGCCCACAATATCGTCAAAAGAGAGAAGCAAAACGTGCCTGTTTGAGAAGAGTCCAGATGAGCGCTATGACTTGCAGGGTCTTGCCGAGGCCTGTGCGGGAGAGACCGGGGGGGACCCCAAAGGTGCTGCTTGTGAGAGGCAAAAGGAAAGACAAGAGCAACAGCTGCTCCTCGAAGTAGCACAGCACACCGGAAGCTAGGTGGCGCCCTCATGGTGTTTTCACCCACTCCTGTCTCCCTGCCCATTACTCGTGTCCAACTTACCCAAACCCAAATCTGCCAGCTCGCTCTATTCATCTGCCAGCTCGCTCTATTCATCTGCCAGCTCGCTCTATTCATCTGCCAGCTCGCTCTATTCATCTGCCAGCTCGCTCTATTCATCTGCCAGCTCGCTCTATTCATCTGCCAGCTCGCTCTATTCATCTGCCAGCTCGCTCTATTCATCTGCCAGCTCGCTCTATTCATCTGCCAGCTCGCTCTATTCATCTGCCAGCTCGCTCTATTCATCTGCCAGCTCGCTCTATTCATCTGCCAGCTCGCTCTATTCATCTGCCAGCTCGCTCTATTCATCTGCCAGCTCGCTCTATTCATCTGCCAGCTCGCTCTATTCATCTGCCAGCTCGCTCTATTCATCTGCCAGCTCGCTCTATTCATCTGCCAGCTCGCTCTATTCATCTGCCAGCTCGCTCTATTCATCTGCCAGCTCGCTCTATTCATCTGCCAGCTCGCTCTATTCATCTGCCAGCTCGCTCTATTCATCTGCCAGCTCGCTCTATTCATCTGCCAGCTCGCTCTATTCATCTGCCAGCTCGCTCTATTCATCTGCCAGCTCGCTCTATTCATCTGCCAGCTCGCTCTATTCATCTGCCAGCTCGCTCTATTCATCTGCCAGCTCGCTCTATTCATCTGCCAGCTCGCTCTATTCATCTGCCAGCTCGCTCTATTCATCTGCCAGCTCGCTCTATTCATCTGCCAGCTCGCTCTATTCATCTGCCAGCTCGCTCTATTCATCTGCCAGCTCGCTCTATTCATCTGCCAGCTCGCTCTATTCATCTGCCAGCTCGCTCTATTCATCTGCCAGCTCGCTCTATTCATCTGCCAGCTCGCTCTATTCATCTGCCAGCTCGCTCTATTCATCTGCCAGCTCGCTCTATTCATCTGCCAGCTCGCTCTATTCATCTGCCAGCTCGCTCTATTCATCTGCCAGCTCGCTCTATTCATCTGCCAGCTCGCTCTATTCATCTGCCAGCTCGCTCTATTCATCTGCCAGCTCGCTCTATTCATCTGCCAGCTCGCTCTATTCATCTGCCAGCTCGCTCTATTCATCTGCCAGCTCGCTCTATTCATCTGCCAGCTCGCTCTATTCATCTGCCAGCTCGCTCTATTCATCTGCCAGCTCGCTCTATTCATCTGCCAGCTCGCTCTATTCATCTGCCAGCTCGCTCTATTCATCTGCCAGCTCGCTCTATTCATCTGCCAGCTCGCTCTATTCATCTGCCAGCTCGCTCTATTCATCTGCCAGCTCGCTCTATTCATCTGCCAGCTCGCTCTATTCATCTGCCAGCTCGCTCTATTCATCTGCCAGCTCGCTCTATTCATCTGCCAGCTCGCTCTATTCATCTGCCAGCTCGCTCTATTCATCTGCCAGCTCGCTCTATTCATCTGCCAGCTCGCTCTATTCATCTGCCAGCTCGCTCTATTCATCTGCCAGCTCGCTCTATTCATCTGCCAGCTCGCTCTATTCATCTGCCAGCTCGCTCTATTCATCTGCCAGCTCGCTCTATTCATCTGCCAGCTCGCTCTATTCATCTGCCAGCTCGCTCTATTCATCTGCCAGCTCGCTCTATTCATCTGCCAGCTCGCTCTATTCATCTGCCAGCTCGCTCTATTCATCTGCCAGCTCGCTCTATTCATCTGCCAGCTCGCTCTATTCATCTGCCAGCTCGCTCTATTCATCTGCCAGCTCGCTCTATTCATCTGCCAGCTCGCTCTATTCATCTGCCAGCTCGCTCTATTCATCTGCCAGCTCGCTCTATTCATCTGCCAGCTCGCTCTATTCATCTGCCAGCTCGCTCTATTCATCTGCCAGCTCGCTCTATTCATCTGCCAGCTCGCTCTATTCATCTGCCAGCTCGCTCTATTCATCTGCCAGCTCGCTCTATTCATCTGCCAGCTCGCTCTATTCATCTGCCAGCTCGCTCTATTCATCTGCCAGCTCGCTCTATTCATCTGCCAGCTCGCTCTATTCATCTGCCAGCTCGCTCTATTCATCTGCCAGCTCGCTCTATTCATCTGCCAGCTCGCTCTATTCATCTGCCAGCTCGCTCTATTCATCTGCCAGCTCGCTCTATTCATCTGCCAGCTCGCTCTATTCATCTGCCAGCTCGCTCTATTCATCTGCCAGCTCGCTCTATTCATCTGCCAGCTCGCTCTATTCATCTGCCAGCTCGCTCTATTCATCTGCCAGCTCGCTCTATTCATCTGCCAGCTCGCTCTATTCATCTGCCAGCTCGCTCTATTCATCTGCCAGCTCGCTCTATTCATCTGCCAGCTCGCTCTATTCATCTGCCAGCTCGCTCTATTCATCTGCCAGCTCGCTCTATTCATCTGCCAGCTCGCTCTATTCATCTGCCAGCTCGCTCTATTCATCTGCCAGCTCGCTCTATTCATCTGCCAGCTCGCTCTATTCATCTGCCAGCTCGCTCTATTCATCTGCCAGCTCGCTCTATTCATCTGCCAGCTCGCTCTATTCATCTGCCAGCTCGCTCTATTCATCTGCCAGCTCGCTCTATTCATCTGCCAGCTCGCTCTATTCATCTGCCAGCTCGCTCTATTCATCTGCCAGCTCGCTCTATTCATCTGCCAGCTCGCTCTATTCATCTGCCAGCTCGCTCTATTCATCTGCCAGCTCGCTCTATTCATCTGCCAGCTCGCTCTATTCATCTGCCAGCTCGCTCTATTCATCTGCCAGCTCGCTCTATTCATCTGCCAGCTCGCTCTATTCATCTGCCAGCTCGCTCTATTCATCTGCCAGCTCGCTCTATTCATCTGCCAGCTCGCTCTATTCATCTGCCAGCTCGCTCTATTCATCTGCCAGCTCGCTCTATTCATCTGCCAGCTCGCTCTATTCATCTGCCAGCTCGCTCTATTCATCTGCCAGCTCGCTCTATTCATCTGCCAGCTCGCTCTATTCATCTGCCAGCTCGCTCTATTCATCTGCCAGCTCGCTCTATTCATCTGCCAGCTCGCTCTATTCATCTGCCAGCTCGCTCTATTCATCTGCCAGCTCGCTCTATTCATCTGCCAGCTCGCTCTATTCATCTGCCAGCTCGCTCTATTCATCTGCCAGCTCGCTCTATTCATCTGCCAGCTCGCTCTATTCATCTGCCAGCTCGCTCTATTCATCTGCCAGCTCGCTCTATTCATCTGCCAGCTCGCTCTATTCATCTGCCAGCTCGCTCTATTCATCTGCCAGCTCGCTCTATTCATCTGCCAGCTCGCTCTATTCATCTGCCAGCTCGCTCTATTCATCTGCCAGCTCGCTCTATTCATCTGCCAGCTCGCTCTATTCATCTGCCAGCTCGCTCTATTCATCTGCCAGCTCGCTCTATTCATCTGCCAGCTCGCTCTATTCATCTGCCAGCTCGCTCTATTCATCTGCCAGCTCGCTCTATTCATCTGCCAGCTCGCTCTATTCATCTGCCAGCTCGCTCTATTCATCTGCCAGCTCGCTCTATTCATCTGCCAGCTCGCTCTATTCATCTGCCAGCTCGCTCTATTCATCTGCCAGCTCGCTCTATTCATCTGCCAGCTCGCTCTATTCATCTGCCAGCTCGCTCTATTCATCTGCCAGCTCGCTCTATTCATCTGCCAGCTCGCTCTATTCATCTGCCAGCTCGCTCTATTCATCTGCCAGCTCGCTCTATTCATCTGCCAGCTCGCTCTATTCATCTGCCAGCTCGCTCTATTCATCTGCCAGCTCGCTCTATTCATCTGCCAGCTCGCTCTATTCATCTGCCAGCTCGCTCTATTCATCTGCCAGCTCGCTCTATTCATCTGCCAGCTCGCTCTATTCATCTGCCAGCTCGCTCTATTCATCTGCCAGCTCGCTCTATTCATCTGCCAGCTCGCTCTATTCATCTGCCAGCTCGCTCTATTCATCTGCCAGCTCGCTCTATTCATCTGCCAGCTCGCTCTATTCATCTGCCAGCTCGCTCTATTCATCTGCCAGCTCGCTCTATTCATCTGCCAGCTCGCTCTATTCATCTGCCAGCTCGCTCTATTCATCTGCCAGCTCGCTCTATTCATCTGCCAGCTCGCTCTATTCATCTGCCAGCTCGCTCTATTCATCTGCCAGCTCGCTCTATTCATCTGCCAGCTCGCTCTATTCATCTGCCAGCTCGCTCTATTCATCTGCCAGCTCGCTCTATTCATCTGCCAGCTCGCTCTATTCATCTGCCAGCTCGCTCTATTCATCTGCCAGCTCGCTCTATTCATCTGCCAGCTCGCTCTATTCATCTGCCAGCTCGCTCTATTCATCTGCCAGCTCGCTCTATTCATCTGCCAGCTCGCTCTATTCATCTGCCAGCTCGCTCTATTCATCTGCCAGCTCGCTCTATTCATCTGCCAGCTCGCTCTATTCATCTGCCAGCTCGCTCTATTCATCTGCCAGCTCGCTCTATTCATCTGCCAGCTCGCTCTATTCATCTGCCAGCTCGCTCTATTCATCTGCCAGCTCGCTCTATTCATCTGCCAGCTCGCTCTATTCATCTGCCAGCTCGCTCTATTCATCTGCCAGCTCGCTCTATTCATCTGCCAGCTCGCTCTATTCATCTGCCAGCTCGCTCTATTCATCTGCCAGCTCGCTCTATTCATCTGCCAGCTCGCTCTATTCATCTGCCAGCTCGCTCTATTCATCTGCCAGCTCGCTCTATTCATCTGCCAGCTCGCTCTATTCATCTGCCAGCTCGCTCTATTCATCTGCCAGCTCGCTCTATTCATCTGCCAGCTCGCTCTATTCATCTGCCAGCTCGCTCTATTCATCTGCCAGCTCGCTCTATTCATCTGCCAGCTCGCTCTATTCATCTGCCA